ATTCTTTTCTTTGCCTCATAAGAAATTGTTCTCTTTGACGTAAGCAAGTCGCCGCCCTCTGTTGTTAGTTCACCAACAGGAACGAATTTTTCATGCCATTGCCTTGTTAGTATGTTTTACTAATGTTATATTAAAAGAGTCATGATTAATTACAAAATTATAAGCTTTTTGTTACACAAATGCTGTAATTTTATAAGATTTTTATAATGAATAAATATATGAATTGTTAAAACAGGAAAATGTGATTTAAGTTGTTATTAAGTTGACGGTATATAACCTTGATGTGTGTCGTTACCACAAGTGATGTCTTTTTATACTATATAGAACTATGTGTTTATTTATATATATTTTTAGTACAACATTTTCACATACGCATTTCACTAAATGCAAAATAAATATTCGCCAGACTTCCTGCTAATAACTACATCAACTAAACTTAAATACAAGCGCTGAATTGAGCACCTCCTCCTTTTGGAGTGTTCCTAAAGCGATATCAAACTATGCGTTCAATATAAATCTCATAATGTGAAAGATTAAAAAAAAACAGGATTAGAAGACAAAAGATTTAATGCTTCTTTTATAATGCAAAATATTAAAGCTGAAATAAATTTAACATCCGTTATATCAATTTGTTTATTAATAGATCTGCATAAATAATGGCGAGTAAGCGGCCTGGAGGTTCGGGAGGGTCGCGGGGGGTCGTGGGGGCGGGGAGGGCGCGTCATATTATGCGGCTAAAAGAGCCTGTCGGTGCCTTTGATCCCGCGCGCGCCGACCGAGCTGCGCGTACGCAGAGATGTGCATCGCCTGCGCCTGTCCACCCGTCATATGAATGCGACTAAACCTCGATTATCGTACTGAACTCTTTATAGAGGTCACGAATACAATGTCTAATAGCATTCCTTTCAGAAAAAAAAACTTTATAATCTTTATCACTTAACACGTAACTTTAGAGCAATGGGTTACGAATGCGAAATACTTTGTTCAAGTAAACCAAAGATTCCAGTCACCTAGAGTAAGAACAATAGAGCAGTTTCGCATTGTTAACAGTACTGACTGGTTGAAGTTTCGACGAAACGATCTTAAAGCAAATTGAAATCTAAAGTTACCATACTTCTAAATTCTCCAGGACAATCTCCACTGTTTCCATTTAAATCTTTATATCGAAAATTCCTCTTTATATTAAAGTTAAATACGTGGTGTGATCAAATATTAAAACGAAAAATTTGTGCACTTAAGTATAAACTAAGTTAGTGTTAGGTAATGTATAGTATAGTCTGCATTCTAACTTAAATAAAAGATTCCAGTGCTTCCGCAAGATTCAATTAATATTATAAAAAGCATCATTGAGATTATAGATTATATCATAGTTATCCGATTGTTAGTTAAAAAATGGCCAGTCTTGATGGAATCTTAAAAGCGTATTCGCGAAGAAATTATAAGGCGAAGACGCGGTGCTGATTCGTATCGCAAGTCAGCGCCGTCACCTCGCCCGGGGCACATCTGATCGCCGGTCAACACTTTATTGCAAAGACCACGTCTTTCTCGTCTACTACGCACATTTGATCTGATCGTAGTTATTCAAAAGATAAAAGGTTGAGAAATAATGGATGTCGGTAATGACCAAAGATCTCTTTTAGGTAATTTCATTAATCAATAAAATTCATTAGTAATTTTGTGATTCCATTTTTGGAACAAAAATGTCGTTCTCTTTTTCCAACAATAACCTCCTTCTTTTTGAAATCGTATAGCGAAAGGTATGTGTACATTTAGGAGTGTAAATGATATTGCTTATTTGCACTTAATATCCCCGACTACAAATGTGAACTTAATAAAAAGAAAAACAATAAAGTTATAATTTAACAAATCACTACGATGCGCGCATTTATGAATAATCTGTGTTCGGCTTTTCGTTTTATACAAATGTTTCTGGCAATCGAGAGACGTCTGAACATATGACATTAAGCCCGATTTATGTTTAAAAAAATATTTAATTCGGGTACAAGTTAAGAACACAAATGTTGTAATAATTCTAAAAATGTATTCCTTTTAAAACATTCATTTGAACTTTCGCCGAAATATGTGTGCATTTCTTAATGTAGTGTCAGCTCTTAGATAAAACCATTAATTATTTTTTATGAATAAAATTAGGTTACCTCCTCCATACATTATATATGATTCCATTTCTTAAAATCTAACAACTCTAATTTATTTTTCCCGAGCAATTCAATATTATGTCTTCTTCATTTAATCCTTGATTTTCCTCCCCACTGCTCTACTGACATAATATCTAATATTATACTTAATTCCTTAATGAAAATGAAAGTTCCTTTCTAAGTTTCTTTTCTAAAGATTAATAATACGTATACGTACTTTGGAATTTAAAATGTCAAGTTTAATTTCGAGTATATTATTTCTCATTTAAATCAAAAATCATATAGCATCATGAGGTAATTCGACCGATTTTCTTAACTTGCATGCTTTTTCTGACACCGACTTCATACGAAAAGGCGACGTAAAAACCGAAACGAAAAAATGAATGCGTATACGACTGTCGTCGGCATTCTTTTATGTAGTTCCTCTCTTTCCCGCAAAGGCATTCTGCGCTCTCTCAAGCATACGTCTCTTTCATTTTAATTTAGCTTAGACGAAACAGGTCATAAGTCGTGGTGACATTTTTAACAATACATTCGAAATGTTTTCGTGTGGTAATGATTTATGTGTAAAACTGTGCGTGCGAGAGCTTTTTGGAACATTTTAAGCACCGCAAGCCTTTGAGGCGATTCGTAAACGCAGGGTCAATGAGAAAAAACTTCCGATTTTAACGAGCTTTTATTTTAAAATACTTACACGAGCTTTTTTGATCCTTTCTTTTCATGAAAGAAGATTAAACCTAGGAATAAAATATGTAGCATATGATTGGATCGATAAATTTATAAAGAGGAAATATTTTATTCCATCGAACAGGCTCCGAAACTCCTGAGTCGATTTCAAAAATTCTTACACTGTTGAGAAGCTACACTATGAAATAATTGTATGTGATGATAAGTAAATAAGTGAACATATTTCTTAGGTATTAAAATATAAATATACTAATCTTATTACTTCTACTCAACTAACTAATTAAGACATAAAAATGATCAAAGTTAGGCTCCCTTTCCGTAGCTTAATCCGCTCCGACACCGCTGTAGGATTAACTGACTTCAGAACAGTGTTTAAAAGACAAGTCTTCCTAAAGTAAATGATTCTAGTAGTTTAAAAGAAGATTTAAGCCGGTAACATTATTGATTATTTTGAATTCTTCAACATATTTATGTCCGAACCCAACAATCCGTTTTAAATTACACAATACGATACATGAAAAGAAAAACTGAAAATGCACATAATGTATAATACTTTTCTTAACTTTTCACACGTACTGCAAGGTACAATATAGGTGGGAAGTCTTTTTGTGTGGAAGATAGAGGACCGTATACTATAGAAAGGATTGGGGAAGACCTATGTCCAATAGCGAGCAGACAAATGCGGAGATGAAATTATAATGAAATTTAAATCTTTATACATTCTTTTAAATTTAACAACCGTAGAGCTTATTAGTAGTAGAGAAATCATTGCTATAGTAGTTTTAATGGATTTGAATAATATAATGAAGGAAATAGACAATTTTAAAATGACAAAAGATGTAAAATAATTGAAAAGAACGGTCAACCACAATGTCGCTGCTATCTGTACAGTTATTTTACTGTTTTATGATAGGTAATAATATTTATTGCGGGCAATAACTTGATTTGGTATAGTTTCAAATGGCACAAACAAACTAAATCGTTTTGCTATATAATTGTTAATATTTATAGTTAAGATGTGAGATACATTTTAAAATTATTTTACTATATTTTACTGGCATTCGTGTTTTGATTTTAAAGTTAATTTTTTCAGCGGTACTTGAAGCAAAAAGCGAAAAACAATCAGTATCTTTGAATTATCCAAGGAAACAACCGACTGGGTTCGGTTGTTTCATTATGAGGTTCAATTTAGTTTTTATAAATTTTTCTATAAAAATGGCTTTCGACTTAAGTAACTCCTTGTACTTAAGAGGCTTCGTCTACTTGAACGCGAGAATGCAATGCGCTGAAGACGAACATAAAGGGTGAGAAAATTATTCAGTTAAATGTGATTGGTTTACAGCATTATTAAATGCATCACAATTTGCACAACAAATACATGCCCACTATTAAGCCATTTCAAGTTTTTTTATCTAAAATTAAGATCAAGACCATTTAAAGATTGTTACAGTCAAAACAATAGCATTGTCGTGACAGAAATTTTTCATTGCAATGAACAGAAATCGCTTTCTATAGCTTACGGTCCTTGACCATTCCAGAAACTGGGACTATATTAACGAAAACATTTTAAATGAATATATTGTTTCTTTCTACCCAACAAGTCTCCGTCCCGACGCGTGAGGATGAATTATTGTTATATGGCCAGCAATAAACAACACTTTTAACTTTATAATTTCCCAGTGATTTTATAGTTTTATGGCTGGTTTCGTGCCTTTTAGAGCAAGAAATGGATGAATCTTAAATTATCTTTTTTTTTAGATTGTTCTGTAGTTTACAAACAAGTTTGTGACCCCTGATTACATGTTTACGATGATCAATAAATGTCCTTGATTATTGATGTCTCATTATCCCATCTCAATTAATAATTTTGTTGATGTTCTTTTCATTTCAAATATTGATCCCATATTTTAATCTGAAAACTGTTAACTCATTGATATTGGCTTAGATATCAAACCAATTGTAACCGGTGGATATTATAAAATGTGCAATATTTTTCAAGATATTTTTTTATTCTGCCTGCAATCTCAGTAACTGTTTATACTTATGTCAAACATATTATAGTTCAAAAGCTACATTACATTATGTTCCAATAAATGAAACTCAAATCAATATAATCATTGACATACATGTCAATAAAAATGCGTAGGGCGCACTTACCTTGAAAAGAATATCCTGTGAAGTAGGGCGTCATGTTCAGTGTTGAAACAGCCATTGACGCGAAGATGAAAAGACGGCGTAGCAAGAGTCAGCTCCGAGCACCGATCTAGATCGTGCACAAGAAATAGTCCCAAAGGATCACAATATCAGTCTTTCACTATCACAGGTAGCACGCAGGCATGATTACGTCGACGAAAATCGCGTGTGTCTAATCCGTGTTACTTTGAAGACAGCCCGGTGCCCACTGACGTGTGATGTAAAGATGTATTTCGACTCTCGAGTGTAATCTTTCACAATCAGCGGTGCAACAAAAAATGGTCAAACTGGCCGCCTCCACAGCCTTCAACACCACACCGAGCGATCGCTTGTCTCTTTCTTTTACCCGATCACTATCACTCACATTTGTTGCTCCGGCTTTAAATTCTGTTGTTACATCTCCAATTTTCCTATAAAATACTCATGGAACCTTTCATTTATCGTATTCTGGATGGAAAAGTGAGATTCGATGTTAGTTTTCTTTAATCTGTTTGATGATCTATAGCATGTTGCGTCGCTATTGGATGTCGTAAGGCGACCGGTGTGTGAAAGGGACAGCATGAAGCTTCGGATCCGGTATCTTCGGTTCGAGGAGCGTTTCCATTAACAATGTGTGAGTCGCGCCTGAGTCGGTGCTCCGTGACGAGAAGCACGAGGCGTGTTGACTACACGATCTATGCCTACGCTCCAATATGATTGGTCAAAATTTATACAAGGCGGGGTCTGCGTGCACACATACCACATTTAACTCTTGTTACTGTGTGTGTTAATTGCATTGTATTTCTGTGATCGTATACAATACAATTTGGAATGTTTTATGATTTTCTTTTATATTACATATTATTTAATATAACCCTCTACGAACATAACTTGCTCCAGTTAATTTTGAATAAACATTTTCAAAATTATTATTATTATTCCACGCGACATACAATGAGGTAATTAACGGATTAACAAATAAATCAAATATAAAAAAATCGTACTAATATATTAAATGCGAATGTTTGGATGGATGGATGGAAGTTTGTTTGAAGGTATCTCGAGTATGGCTGCATGGATTTGGCTGATTTCTCGCTGAAATTTGGAATAGATATAAAACACAGTCTGGAAAAACAATTAGAGTATTAATAGTGTTTTTATTACACGCAAACGGAGTCGCGGGCGATAGCTAGTTAAACTATAATAGCCAGATATTTTCTGTCGTCTCAATGGCAATTTTTTCCACTGCACCATTCGATAGGTAGGCTGAACGGCCCAACGGGAAACACCTCAATTGCTGTTAGAGACAAACTTAAAGATTTATATTAATTAGTAACAGTAAATAGTTGGTTCAATCTTGACATCGTTTTAAATAAAAAAAAAGAAAATGTTGTAATTAAAATTGCGCAACATTAATTAATATAGAAAGCAGTAACTAATTAACTATTTAAATTAAAGTCGTGAACTCTACGAGTTCGCTCACCATGGCCGAAATTCATTAGAAGTTATTTTTACTTCAAAGATTGTGAAATTAAACTCAAAAACAAGGTTAATTATGAAACATTATCGACCTATTGTTGTTTTCTTCTTTTGTTTTAAGTGTTTCTTGCAATTTTTAATCTGTCTTATGTTAAGGTTAAGTTATCTATTCTATTTTAATATTTATATAACTCCGTTTTCGAATTAGAATCGAGAAATCATATTGATATTAGATTTTTTGTGTACTCAGAGTTTACAGATTTAACTAAAAACAACTTAATTGCTCCAAATGCAGCCATTAGTTTGAAAATATACACCAAAAGTCGGCTTATGTAACCCATCATTTCAGTTAGTACCTTTAAGTCTATTAGGCATTTTCGAACCTACAGATAATAAAGTAAAATATAATACATTTAACTACGATCGAAAGGAGTCACATTTTGCATCTGTAAATCTAGACTAACTGTCGGATGGGCGCAATTAAAAAAAATAAGTAGCCTATGTGTTCTTCCAAACTATGTTCTATATGTGTGCTAAATTTCGTGGATATCCGTTGAGCCGATCCGGAGATACCTTCAATGAAACATTCATCTAAATTTTCTCATTTATAAAATTAGAAAGGAGTAAGATGTGACATTTAGTTTTAAGTATAGGTAATGTTTTATTTTTGTATAAAAGTATACTGACAAGTTTCCTCTTAAATAACAAAAAATGTACTTACAGTTAAATTTGTAATGTTTTAAGAACAGATAAGTACCAATCATTAGAACGATAAGACCTTGATTGCCTTTAAAAACATTTTAATTATAAATAAAGCGACGCTCCGTCAAGCACTTGGCTTGCAAACCCTTTCATTCGACATTGACGAGTTTGGTATAACATGATTATTATAAACTTAGATAATTCTGTTTAATTAAGCATCTAAGTTCGATAGATCAAACAGTATTGACGTATTTTTTTTTTATATCGTAAGGTGGCAAACGAGCGAGAGGCCACCTGAAATCGCTGAAATAGCGAGGTGACCGTTGCCCACATATATAAGTAACTGCATATGCGTTGCCTACCTTTAATCGACGGAGGATAGGATGCACAGAAAGAAAATATTATCCCTTACCATGCATCCTCTCATCCGGAAAGTCCACTTCCACTTCCCTTCCTCTCCTTATAAGAAAAAGGTTGGGAATGGAAAGAGGACTAAATTAGGTCTCCAGGACGCACACTCATCAGACGAAACGCGGAATTGCTTACACTTCACGTCTGTCTTCTTTGTGGTCGTGGTATTTCACCGGGCGAGCCGGGCCAATTCGCGCGAAGATGTTAAAGCGGGCTCTACCACTGTTAAATTTACATTCGTGTTAGTCTTTTTTACTTTAGGTAAAAATAACTTATCAAATGAGGTCTTTAAGCTATGATCTCTTAAAGTAATGATAGAGAACAAAAACAAAATTTTTTATTAAAATTTTTCCAAAGCTTTCTTAGACAACCAGTTTCACAGTACTCCTGACTGTATGTTGTTTTATCAACCTTGTTTATACGGAATATTCACAAACACCCATTAAAGTCATAACAACGAAGAAAATAAGTATTCCAAAGTAATTCAACCAATAACTTAATAAATATGAAAAAGGCTACACACATATACATCGATGCATTCGCTGTGTGTGGTTAACATATTTATCAACATTACACGGTTAATTTTGTTTACCCCAGCAATTAGCACTCCGGTTGACACTTCACGCGCTATGAGAATCTTCATAAGAGACGCGGGAAGAAAAAGGGAGGCATAAAATGCGCTGAAATCGCTGCCTAAACGCTTCAGGGCCCATTGCGCGTCAAAGATGCCGCTGAAAATAAGCGTTGATGCCGCACACGATGAACAAATAGCAAATTTAAACCACACACATGATGTTCAAAACATCAACGGCAGTTATGTGTGAGGTCTGTTAATGGTGTGAACAGCTTTAGAAATAAAACTTAAGAAATTACTTAACGTTATTACATTTTTGATAGTCATTTAAATCAGGATTACAATGTCCGACAGATAAGACTGGAATTTAAATACAAGTAGATACATATATGTTTGTATGTAGTTATGTATTTCTATCTGATTGTATTTTAATTAATATGTACAGACATATCTGATTTAAAATTTATAATTAATCTTAGGTACTAATATTATAAATGCGAAAGTTTAGATGGTTGGATGGATGTTTGTTATACGTCTCTTCAGAATAGCTAAAGACATCTTACTAATATTTGGCATTGATGTAGACCATAGTCTGGAGCAACATATAATCATCAACCTTTTTTTAATCGCGCGCAGACGGAGTCGCGAGCAAAAGCTAGTATTTAATATATTGATCTACGTACACCATCAATTTAGTACCTACTACATATTTATACATAGTAAGCAATAATTATGTTTAATCTTAACAGTGGTAAAGCCCGCTTTAACATCTTCGCACGAATCGGCCCGGCTCGCCCGGTGAAATACCACGACCACACAGAAGACAGGCGTGAAGTGGAAGTAATTCCGCGTTTCGTTTGATGAGTGTGCGTCCCGGAGGCCTTACTTAGTCCTCTTTCCCTTCCCACCCTTTTTGTTAGAAGGAAAGGATGGGAAGTGGAAGTGGACTTTCCGGATGAGAGGATGCATGGGAAGGGAAAATATTTTCTTTCTGTGCATCCTCTCCTCCGTCGATTAAAGGTAGGCAACACATATGCGATTGTGTATGTCTATGGGCAACGGTCACTTCGCTATTTCAGCGATTTCAGGTGGCCGATTGCTCGTTTGCCACCTTTTGATATAAAAAAAAATCTTGGTTATATTGTCACCTTGTTACAACCGAAATAAAAAATCTTGAATAAAAAGTCATATAGGTTACTAATGTGTGTATCATAAATATGTCGTTTACATTTCGTATGCAACTAAAACTAAGTTGAAAATAGCATAAGTATCGCAATAGCATTATAGCTTGCAAGTCATAATGTTCTGTCCCAATAAATGTGGGTATCGGTTGCCGGTAATAATATTCGTTCCGCTATAACGATATATGATTCCCCCATCTCGTACACCGTTCATCATATTACCACGAAACGTTCAGAGACACTTTAAACAATATGGAAACGACACAAATAACATCTGGTTAGACATCGTTTCGAAGCGCGTCTATCGAATAAAACGAATAACCGGTGACTCATAGATTCGTGTAGGAGGCCACGAAAAGTTCTCACGAAATTTGTATTTCTTTTACGTTTTTTCGGCATTATACAATTTTTTTTGTCGAAAATGAAAACATAGATTTTATTGTAAGTTAAATCGTTCTAAAAATATAAAGTATTCCAAACAAAAGAGTGAAGTAATTAATTTTTTGTACATAGCAAAGAAAAAAAAGTACGTCTAAAACAAATTATACTATTTATTCTTAATTCGTCCTTAACTTGTTATTGCGAAAACCTTTACTTTTCTTGATGAATTACGTCATATTGTTTATTTTTTAAGAATAATCAAAAATAAATCTACTCGTAAAAAAACTTATCTTGAAGACCAATTACTTTCTATTTGAAAATTTTTTTCTATGCCTTAAAATTTAATAAAGACTTTACTAAAAATTACCAAATGTAAGGAAAACTTTTTCAAACTTGTTTAACACGTGGCTTCGCTAAAATAAAAGTATTGAAGAGTTTTTTTACACAGACACTAATGAGGGCGGTGCTGAGCAAAGCGGCAGTAAATTACGTACGCGGATGCGTGGACGCCACGCGACTATCCGCTAATTGCCCGAACACACAAAAAGCGACAGACCGAGATTGAAAATACGAACAGCACGTTGTGATTCTTGCTGTTAATAATATCAGATTACACGATTTTAAAACATATGAACATGTAATCTTATTTTATTTCTAAATCCGTTATTAAAATTGTCTATTCATTTCAATAGTCTCTTTTCAAAACCTACTTCTAGAAATATCATTTTTATAGTAGACTTTAGTATAGTTACCACTCTCTTTCTTATTTTATGTCTTTCTATAAATCGTCTTATCAGCATAGTCCTTTTATGAAGGATTTTTCTCCTCTCAAAAGACATCGAAATTTTATTAAAAACTAGCTGTCGCCCGTGACTCCGTCCGCGTAGAATGATAAAAAAACTTAATTAGTTA